GGTGTTATGTATCTCAGGTTTCCCTTAGCACATGGATACTTTCATGGAAAATTCGGCGCCATCGAACGTCTGAACCTATTACGCGCGCTGACACCGCTACTTTGCCAGTCTCATAGAGACAAATGTTTTTGAAATTTCATGTCTTCTTTGTATGTCATTTTGTTTTGTAATTTTGTATGTAACTATTTGATGTAAGGACAATAAACTGGTTATCTATCTATCTAAACTCAGTTGGCATAGTAAAAATTATCTAATAAAAAAAAATAAAAAACCAAAAAGAACACAAACTCAATTCGCTTTGCTTATATAAGCAAAAAATGTTGCTAACTGCTTGTAATAAAGACAAAAAAAGAAATAAAATATCAAGTTAAAGATTCTATGGTCTAGAGGTTATGACGTTTGCTTCACACGCAGAAGGTCCCCAGTTCGATCCTGGGTTGAATCATCTTAACTTAATTTTTTTGCTTAAAAGTTTTCCATAAATTTGGAACTTACTGGTTTACACTGATTCTGAAGCATGTCACAAAAGGGCTCAGCAATGATTTTATGTGTAAACTGTTCGATGTAAGGACAAGCAACCGATTATCTATCTAAGGACTCAGAAATCTTCTAACCGAACCATTAATTGCAATGTTTTTGAAATTTCATGTCTTCTTTGTATGTCGTTTTGTTTTGTAATTTTTATGTAACTATTTGATGTAAGGACAATAAACTGATTATCTATCTATCTATCTAACCATTAATTGCAGTATTTGTCTAAATATCTTCAAGGATCAATGGTCCCTTGCTCTGGTTATTTCAAAGACCCCCTGTCAATCTACTCACTTTTACTAGACCTCGATCTTGATGATCCCCTGGAAGACCGTATTGCCAAAGTTTGTCGCAATGTTTGCAAAAAGCTCAATAAGATTACCAAGAAATGGACTTCTAAATTTGCGTCTTAAAGTATCAATAGCTTTTAGATTTAAAATTTAAAACATAATACATAGGATCATATAGTAACAGGTGTCGAATATTATATTACATAATCCAAGTCAAAGGCTGTCTCCCTCCCTTTAGATGCTGGGTCAATTGGGGACCAGAAGTTTTCATTAAACCTTCCACGTAGTTAAAATAACCAATCCAGTTCTTTTCTCTCTTCTCCAGCAGAGTTTGACGAAAACACTTCCACTACCTCAAGACAACAGCAATTGTCAGATTTTGGCTGTGACAGCACGTATACACACACAGACACACACAGTACCAAGCACTAAATACAGTAGCCGATACACTGTGGAGGGTGGGACTCATATATCGCCATGTCTAATAACAATTTCAATCCGAACTATCCCCAGCAGCAGCAGCAGCAGCCGACTGGATACCTTAATTCTCAAGCAACGGGATATAATCAAATGGGATATCAACAGACGGGTCTTGTCAATCAGGCGACTGGTTACCAGCAACCCCAGCAGCAACAGTACTTGAACCCTCAGGCGACCGGGTATGTTAACCAGGGTTATCAGCCACAGCAACAACAGTACGTTCCGCCTCCTGTGCCTTCAATTCCTTCGGAATATACCAGCACTTCTCAGACACCTGTTGTCAACACTAGCTTGACAATTCCTAATGGTATGTGCTGTCTATAGTCAATATTGCATTCGGTACAGTATCCTTATTTTGATGATGTTTGACTAATTTTTCTTTTAATTGAAGTGCGCTTATCATTTTTGACGCCGGATGAGCAGAAGAATTACGAACAATTGTTTCGATCAAAAGTACCGCAAAAAGAACAGGCTTTGTCGGGTGAGTAAATATTAGAAAATTGTCTTTCTAGCTTTTTTGGCAGTTAGCTAGTCATAGACTTAGCCCACCAGTTAGGCAATCCAGAAACTAACGTCTTATCTTTAGGTGCGCTTGCTAAGGATGTTCTGGTTATGTCGGGCCTTCCCCCGCAAACTCTGGGTGAAATTTGGAATCTAGCTGATACAAACCGCTCTGGTGCTTTGCTTTTTCCTGAGTTTGCCCTTGCCATGTATTACTGCTCGCAAGCTCTCAAGGGCCAACCTGTACCCAGCGTTTTGCCAGAGGACGTGAAGCGCGACGTAACCAAATTTGTCGACGTCATTTCTTTTAACATTCCTGAGGAGACTTCCTCCAACGGGAACAATACTAGTACTTCTAATACTACTCAACAAACTGCTCAACAACAGCCACAACAGTCGTTTAACGCGCCTGGATTGCAGCCCTCGACTACTGCATCCTTAGCCCCCCAGGCTACAGGATTTCAGCAGTCACTGCCCACTCAAGCAACTGGCTTTCAGCAACAGCAACCCTTACAATCAACTCAACCTACTGGATATACGTCTTCCATCCAGCCTCAATTAACGGGTTACACGCCAACTATTCAGGCTCAGACCACAGGCTATACTCCTACTATTCAAGCTCAGACTACAGGCTATACTCCCACCATCCAGGCACAAACAACGGGCTACTCGCCAGCTTCCGCTCTACAGACGACTCAGTCTACCGGGTTTCAATCTAATGCTTCTGCGCCTGCGGCGGGTCCGATCCAGCCCCAGACGACGGGATATACTCCTCTACAAAGTCAGTTGACAGGTTTTGTTGCCTCTTCCACCACAGGTTCTGGCCCTGCCGTTTCGAATATGCCTCAGACAACGACGGTTTCGCAGCCCCTACAGGGTCAAGCGACAGGTATTGTTCAAACACCTCTTCAGACACAAGCTACAGGATTTTCCCAGCCTCTTCAAACTCAAGCTACAGGATTTAGCCAACCCCTACCGACTCAGGCAACTGGCATCCAACCTCTCCAGAACCAAGCAACTGGTTTTGTTCAACCTTTGCAATCACAGGCCACCGGATACCCTGCTCCACTTCAAGCAATGCCTACTGGCAAACCTGGACAATGGGGATTTATTAATAACCCTAGTGGTGGATTGCCTGGCCTTGACAAGTTTCACTCTCGTTTCATGCCTCAGGAAGGAACTCAGAATTTCACTTCTGCTGGACTTGAAGGTAACGCAAAGGTAGAGTGGGCAATTACTAAGGACGAAAAGCGTGTCTACGACAAGATTTTCGCTGAATGGGATAGAGACCACAAAGGCACCATGGGTGGTGAAACTGCTATCCAGGTGCTTTCTCAAAGTGGATTGTCTCAGCGCGATCTTGAAGCTATATGGACTCTTTCCGACCCCGGTAACAAGGGAAAACTGGATAGAGATGAGTTTGCTGTGGCAATGCATTTGATCTATAGACGCTTGAACAACTATCCTATTCCCGCAAGATTGCCGCCTGAGCTTATCCCTCCTTCTTCGATAAACTTTTCAGATTCTGTTTCTCAAGTGAAAAAGTTTTTGCGGGCTAATAATTCCAAGCCTGATAGCAGTTCTGGAAGTGGTGTTAGTTATATGAAAGATAGATCGTTTACTTCTAACTCAACCAAGAACATCAAGAAGGATGCAACTGTGTTCAAAAACGATGATAGTGAAATGGTGTACCGTTCAAGGGCCAGACACAAGTCTTCGAAAAACAAGGACAAGAGCGAGCCAAAATCTCAAGATGAAGAAAGACACAGACGCAATCATATGACTTTAGCGGAGTTGAGAAAGCAAGTTCACGAGAAGAAGATCTTGCTTGATGCAATTGATGCCCGTGACGAAGAGGAGTACGACAATGTTGTCAACATTGAGGATAGAGACAAGCGTGAGATTGAGACACTCAAAGATCGTATTGTTGATATTCAAAAGGAGATTTACAAATATCCAGTTTCTAATGCTAGCCCCAGTGAGGGTAAGAAGCAGCTGCAGCACAAACTGGCTGACCTCAAGAAACAGATTCCTACCCTTATTCAAAACGTGAAGGAAGTTGAGAATGAGATTGTGCAGTTTAAGCTTCAGCTGTTCAAGGCCAAGGCGGAGCATGAGAATCCTGGCTCGACCATTACTGGTACGGGCCTCAACGGTACAATCACAGACTCGGACAGGCGTAAGGCCAAGAACCGAGCCCTGCTTAAGGCCCGTATGGCGTCGTTGACCGGCAAACCCTCATCTGAAAATGTCTATGATTTTGAAGCATTTGAACGTGACTACAATGCAGAACTCGAGCGACTTACACGAGAGAAAGAGACAATCGAGACAACAATGCGTGATATTGAAGAGTCCTCGACCCAAATTTCTCGTGAGGTCGAGGCTTCTCTTCGTGGAGGCTCTTACGATGAGGAGACCAACCCAGATCGTGAGTATAACCGTTTTGAAGAAGCTATTGGTGTCGAGGATGATGTAAAGGACTTGATTTTGTCATTACGCAGATTCAAACCTGCTACACCGGCAATTGCTGAAACACCTAAAGCTGCTCCTGCATTCTCGTCTACCAGAAAGTATGATTTTGGATCCACACCTTCGTCTTCTGTTTCTTCTTCACGCCAGGTATCTGCTTCAGATCTTCCATCTGCAGTCTCGTCACCTACTATTGGGCATACAGCATCACCACAGCCCGTGCACCGCACACCCGCAGAGCGCGCTGCTTACATTAAAGCTGAAGCAAAACGACGCATGGAAGAGCGTATGGCTGCTATGGGCATCAGACGCCCAGGTGCGTCTTCTTCCTCCGCCAAAGCATCTCCTGTGGAGTCACCACGCTCGACTCCGGAGCCTACAAAACTGCCCACGTTTGCATCGCCATCCCACTCGCCTGCACCTGTCCCTACTACCCCTCAAGCTCCTTTGGAAGTTGCGCCCACCCCTGTCGCCGCGCCGGCGGCACCCTTTAACTCTGAAACCTACAAGGAGGAAAGTTCTGAGGACAGCTCTTCGAGCGATGATGATGATGACTACGACGATGAGCAGTTTAAGCGTATGATTCAACAGCGCGCCTCTGATGAGTCTCATGGCCGTGACTCTCCCGCCGCTTCCCCAGCAGCTCCTGCTGCCGACTCCGCGCCCGCCAGTAGCCAATCAAAGGAATCTCAAATGGAACAACTCAAGGCCCAGATGGAGGCCATGAAGCGTGAACAGCTTTCTCTCGAAGCTGAGAGTGATAGTGACGACTCAGATGCTAGTGACGATTCTCTTGATGAGCAGATTCGCCAACTGGAGCAACAAACACAGAGTCATAATCCCTTTTTGAAGGCCGGGGATAATAATCCTTTTGCCAAGATGGCGGCCCAGAAGCAGCAACAGCAGCAGGAGAAGAAGGATGATGATGCTTAAGTAGATTGCGGAGGGGGGAAGAAAGTAACAGAAACTCGTTAAAGGCGTATATATATATACTCTTGAAATTGTCATAATTAAATTATTTTTTTTTAACAAATGAAATATTTTAATATTATGATACAGATTTGATTATAACTAAAAAAGAGACTTTGTAAAAATACGGAAAAGCAGCCCCGATATCATTAATAAATAAAAATTGATGTACTAGTAACCCAATCCAGTCCAAGGTGAAGTTTTG